ATATTCTCCCCCCCCACCCCCCACCCCCATCCCCTTTACGATTACTTTTCAAGATATTCATCATTTACGTGTGGTTCTTTACATTTATAGGTAAACATTGTACGTTAATTATATTTATTTCTATGCCCGATACGGAGAATACAATCTCTGTGGCCTATTGGTTAATTTAATTAAAAAATATCTTTCCACGCCTCGCAAATACTTACTTACTTACTTACTTATAAAAGAAAGTGATACCTCAAGTACCTTGTTAATGAAGTGGGATCGAAGCCACACCTATTAGGAGGTTATCATTAGCGATTATTCATATGAAAATTGCAAAGCATGTAGAACTCAACAAAGTTTTTATAGAGTAACGATCAAATCCTTTTCAAGTAAATTTCTAATATTCATAATTTTACATACATGTATTGGAACATTTCTCGAACAGTGCATGTGTACGACCCAAATTCGGAACCTGTTTCAAACAGTCTCTCAAAATGAATTTCTCAATCGAAGTTCAGAAAACGAACTCACGATCACAACAACAAAAAAAGTACAGACGACGAACCCCCAAGCGGGAACCTAAAAATAGTAGCCCCGTTTCTCAAGAACACGAAAAAGTCTCTAATGCATTTCGTCGCCTTGATATTCAATTCCAAAGCAACTAACTTTTAAGGAGAAATGGAATTTTCTTTTTATTTACTTTAAATATCAAATAGACGGGCATTTATTATTTTATATATTACTGCTCTACTTTTCGCATGCGATCGGACGTTTCATCGACAAAAACAATGGTGATAAAGAAATTTCGCGCAATTTGTGCGCTATGCAATTAAGAAATTTTATCAAACATAACAAACAAAAAAAGAAAAAAATTTTTTTGATATTTAATGCGTGGACAGAAGGAGCTCAATCTTAAACGTTATGATTTTAAATATAAACGTAATTAATTATTGCTATAATGACTTTATTCGGTCTGTTTCGCTCGTGTCAATAGTAGCAGTCCCTTTCTTCTTCGTTTTCTTCAATTTTTCTCGTTATTTTTTTTTATTTTTTGTTTGGTTTTTGTGGATAACGTAACGTATGCCGCGTTCCAATCTCGTTACAATTTTCCATTCGTCCGCATTGTTTCTGAGATTATAAATTAATCGATCGACGTTACTTTGTATCTCGCATTTTGCTAAATGAATGGCTCTATTTCTACGATATTTTCACATCGCTTATACCCAACGTCGAAACGTCGATGATATTGATAAATTTTAATCTTACATCATTTGACATTATAAATCTATCGTACGTTGTAAATTAATCCGAGCGAGATTACGAATAATATACGTTCCTAACGAGGAATTTAAGATATTATGGGCTCGCTAAACACAATAATGGCTCGGACAATTAGTTTCATCTCGATGAGATATCATTGTCATCTATATATATTACTTTCTTACAATTGCGATGCTTTTCAGCAATTTTCGCATATACGAGGCCATTTTTAATAATTGAACGATTTACTTTCTCGTAGCGCCAAACGTAAGACTCTCATTGACAAAAACAAAAAGGCAGGACTGTAAAAACGAGTCTCTCAGTCGCGTTCAATTAGCTTGGAAAGACCACGACGAAGTCCCGGCACCGGCCTCAACCTCGCCGAGACTCGCACTCTTTACGACTCTCCTCCTTCATCCCAACGCCAAGGTGACGGTGTACCGGAGCGATTGTCCCCCTAACCTCCTCCTTCCCCATTTCCACTTCCTTCACACCCGCCCGAACATTAACACATCCTTGCCTCGACAATACTCGTGGCAGGCGGCACTTGTGGACTGAGCGCGAACTCGTGGTGCGGAGAGGAAGGGCGCGCAGGGTATTATCCACGTAAAGTTGCGCGGCTACACGGCTCCAGTAACGCCGGCGGTTCGTTGCACTTGGTACGTAGCCGGCCTCCCGGCGCCTTATCGGCGCGGCGCATTTTTCCAGCGGCAGACCCGCGCTCTCCCCCGTCAGCGGTCCGCTGCCTCCCGCCCATTTTCTTTCCCGTTCGGGAAAGCCTCGCGCGTCGCCGCGGGGGCCACGAGATAAGAAGCGAGATAAAAGCTCCTCATCGTGGCGGGTGGGGGAGCACCGGCAGCTCTCCGCTCACGTTCCCCAGGCTCTCGGGGGAAAATCGACGGCGCGTCGAGCAGCAAGGTAGAGGAGCCTCGGCGATGCGAAGCAGCAGCAGCAATAGCAACAAAAGAAACAGCTACAGCAGCAACAGCAACAGCAGCAACAGCGTCAGCAGCAACTGCAGCAGCAGCAGCAGCAGCAGCAGCAGCAGCAGCAACATCAACATCAACAGTCGACGAGCTATTGTTTACGTTGGAGCGACGGGCCGGGCCCCTCATTTTCCTCTCTTTCTCCGCTCGTCGCGGGCGCGCGACCGGCCCGGGCGAGCACCCGTCGGGTGGGGACCCGCGCTGCATACCGATTGGTCGCGCCCACGCGGCCTCCTCGCGGTTCACTGACCTTCGCGAAACACGTATGCGCGCGTACGTCGTAGGTAGTAGGCGCGTGCACTCGGGATCGCGGCCCGGCTGTCGGAGCGCCTAGGAGCTTATGGAGGAGCTGCCGTCAGCCACCACCGGCGGCCACGTTCGAGGCGCTCTTCCCTCCCCCCTCCATCCCCCCCAACTGAAAATGTCGCCCACCCACTTTAACGCTCTAACGCGTTCCCGGCGCTTCAATCTCTCGCCGACGGCCGCGCACTTGTTGCTCTTGCCTTCCTCCCTCTCTAACCCTCACCATCCAAATAACCCATCATCGCCGCCACCGTACCCCTTCTCCCCGACCCCACGAACTCTACGACCTTTCTGCGGCGTTTGCTTCCGTAGCATTCCATGAGGATGAGAGAGAGAGAGAGTAGGAGGGGATTTCGGTTGCGATTTAACCGCGTGTTGTGATGTGCGATCGCAGGGAATCTCGTAGCGAGAAGGCAATATTGCTTGGCCCTGTCTCTATCGGGATATTGCTATTCATTATTCAAGGAAGAAAGGACTGCGCCTCGAACCTCTGCAGAGCTCTCTCGACCATGCAATTTTCTTCTTCTTCTTCTTCTTCTTCTTCTTCTTCTTCTTCTTCTTTCCTTTTC